GAATTTTCAACCATCACTGAACGAAATGACGATCGAAATTCCCGTCAGTTGAAGCTTTTTTCCCTAGATTTTTAACCCTAAAAGCCTGAAATTGACGCACTTTAAAGCGGAAAAATATGCAGGAACTGGAAGAATATCTGTTCAACTGTGACTGTTTGACTAATGGAAATTTTTATCACGAGCCATAACTATTGTTTCCGCAGTCGGTCGTTAGCTTTTTATCCCATTTAGATTTTTTTCAGCCCTTCCCCCCTCCCGCTTTACATCGTTTTTACTTCGGGGATAGGCTCTGAAATTCCGCAGGTTTTTCCTCGTCACGCATCAAAATTACCTTCTGGTCGTCGATGTAAATTTCGCCTCGGCAGGAGTAAAATCTCGCAAATAGCCTATCTAGATTTTTCTGTCATCCTGCGAATGATTCAGGAACTTTTTACTAAGCTTGAAAAACGGATACACGTCAGCTTGGTGGAGAGACCATCATCGTTGCTGGTCAAATGGAAGCTGGATTTTCAATCGTTTTGTTATTTTTGCATCCTCGCTTGGCCGAGCTGTATCTCGCATCTAGAATTTTAGAGCCTGTGTTCTGCCGTAAGAAGAGTTTTGAGTGCTCATACTACGACGCTCATTGGACTGATCTCAGCGCGCGACTCACTGTGCACCTTAACATGCTCTTAACAGTAATTGAGGAGCTTTTCGGAAAAAGGGCACATAGCAAAAAAATTGCGTTTGAAAAAAATGAATTTGAAGTTTTGATCATTACTCTATGGCCGCTCTCGTTCGAAATCGGGAGTCCAAGCTGCGATGAAAGGCACCATCAGTGGCCAGAATTAATGATGGAAACTTAAAATGCATTTTTCTCAAACGCTATATTTTGCTATGTGCCCTTTTTCGGGAAAGCTCCTCAATTGTAATAAATACCGTCCGCCGCTAGACACTCATTGTCATTATTCTCGTATTTTCTTGGAAATTAAGATAGAATCGCTCCTTTTACCGTAGTAGTTCGACGTCCCTAAATTATTTGTTTTTAATGTGTTCTTATTAAAATGTATTTATTATTTATTTATTTAAAATATAAAAACATTAATATCCTAAAATACTGTCCATTTTTGATCCGGCGTTGGTTTTAAATAATCGTTGATAACTTAACCAAACATTTTACTTGCAAATTCCTCTCATCAGGGCGCAAAAGGAACTTTTTTATTTTTCGATTACGAAATTCTTTCGCGCAACTGACATGAAATTCTAGTTCTATCGTCATTAGATTTGGAGAAATGGCGGAGCTTGTATTTCATTCCTCTCTTAGCTCATGCCGCATTTAACCTCTCTTGATGTTTCAGATTCTCAGATGTTCAAGATAAAAACTCATCGCATTGATGAAGATCGTTTGTCGATCATATTTTAGGGTGAATTTTTAGCAAAATTATTATCAATGAATCAATTTGATTGAAGCCCCATTTATATTTCATCACCTATAAGAGAGGTGAATTTTTGGTCTTCTTCAAGGAACCTTTTGGCGTACGTGAAAAAAATAACTGTTTCTCTTTTACTCATTTTCTCCCGTTCTCTAAAGCAGAGCCTATCTCTCCATCTCGAATCTCATTCGAATTTTTTTCTTTTCAGCGAAAAAAAAAAAACCCTCACAATGTAAAATGTCATCTCGAACATAATTTTAGATCTGTAAATGGTCATTTAGGTTCAAGGTTTTCTCTCCATTACGGTTAAAATTGGTTTCTAGCTCACAGCGAGCGCATTTCTCCGAAGAGTAGCAGTACGTTTTAGAATTTCAGTAGCAAATTTAAAATCACAGGAAAAAAAATGTACAAAGGTTGGAATGAAAAAACCGTTTAACTTCGCAAACCTGTCGCACTGGACCAATTTAGTCTCTCCTTTTTCTGCGAAATAAGCAAGTTTTTAATAGCATAAAAAAATTCGTACGCCGATTACCGCTGGTTTCTAGGAAAAATGTCTAGGAAAAATGTCCCGTTTAAAAAGTTTTCTTGTGTCTCTCACGTAATTGCTTGTGTGTCTGTGACCTCAATTATCTTCTTGAAACAGATCGCACGTCGACGTTTCTGCTTCGCAGTTGAATTGTTAGAAAGGTTCGTCTGGCAACAACCTCGGATCAATAATTCTCGCGTTTTGCCTTATTTTTATTTAACTGCCCGTTTAACGTGAGTAATTAACCCCCGTGTCGTTAAGCTTTTTGCATCCTTGAAGGTTATGTTTTAGATTCGCCTTTCGTGGCCGATTATGAGCATTAAAAGGGCGATTACCTCCCTTTATTTCTATTCGAACCTCGCAGGGTGCACAAACGGTATTTCCTTAGCCCATTTACGCTTTGCCTCAGAAAGTACCATTTAATGGTTTATTCATTTTATAATACTTATTTTTTTTTATTTTTGAAAAAATGACTTAAGAAAAAATGACTGTCAATTGTGAAATTATGGTTCGGGGTTTTTTCGGCGTACAAAACAAAAATAGAAATAACTAGGAACAAAATTGTTCCAGTCAGAAAAATCCAGAAGTATTTAAAAATCTACGGGGCAGATAAATAAATCTGCAAAAATGTGAAAGTAAAGCCCTTTACCGTAACATAATCATTGAAATAATGATAAGTTAAAATAATCAGTCTATTGCATTAATTGATCATATTATAATATATATTTATGTATTATTTAATTACAAATTATAATTTGTAATGTATATCATTAAATTATTACTTTAGCATGAAGTTTTCTCCCGTTTCACAATAGTTTTATTTTTATCCTGTCGGTTTTCTAAAGTTACCTTCATTCGTCTCCTATTCCGGTCTGGTTTTTTTCTATTGATTATGATCAAATTAACGTAGTTTTTCTTACCTCACAAAGATCACGTCAAAATAATGTGCCCATAACTTTTTAAAGCCCTATTTTTCTAAATATAGATTTCTCAACTTTTTATTTAATTACTTTTTCTCCTTTTAGCTCCGAATAGAATAGTTGGGTTTGAATAATGCTTGTCCCTATCAATGAAGGATTTGAAGAGTTTTTCCGAGCAGAAATGATCAGATCGAAACATCAATGATGAATAAGTGTATCAACATAGAGTTTGTATTGCAAATGAGCAGTGTTTCCGTAAATGTAACCGATCCTTGACGTGGATGAGTTGTTTTCTGTTAGTATTGTATTCTAGTATTTGTTGTATATGTTTTTTTTTTTCGCGGTTTTTTTTAGTAGTCAGACACTCATAGGGCGATTTTCGCGTTTTAAGAAAGATTCCCTATGATTTTTTCCCCCTTTTCCAATAATATTATTCCCTGTGTAATCGTCTGAGTTTTTTCCACCGTTAGATAGAGGATATGATAATGCTAAATGAGGAAGACATTGGATAACAAATAACTTCAGCAGGGATGTATTCCAATCGAATTAAAAGAAATACTGATAAAACCACCCTATATTTAATCTTAATTCCAACTAAATACATCGAAATTTTGGGTTGATTCGAACACTTTTTCTCTGAAATGAAGTATCCTCTTTTATCCTGTGTACCCGAAAACTAGCTTTTTTTAGTGCTTTCATTTGCGGCAGACAAACCCCCCAAAGGGATTCATTCTTCACTTCAGAAACAATATTTACATGAAATCGCCCTTGCGAATATTTCCTCTCAAACCAAAAACGAATTTTCTTGAGTCGTGCTCATGTCTGCTGGATGTAAGATAATTTTCATAAAAGCATCTGCATCTTTTCTGCTGGATTCACGAAAATTTATTTTCGGCATAAAATTCAAGTACATTTTTAAAAAATAGTTTCAATTTTTTATAGCAATCAACGCGCTGTAATAATCCTCCTACTTCGTTATATTACTGCTTAAATCACGTTACTTTTTTTCTAGTGCAACATTTCAATATTATTCCTTCAAGAGATGGATTTTCAATTATTTCTGTCCAAATTTCGACAATCCCGCCCTCTTGAGCACAGAAGAGAAAACTTCTTGGATTCATCGCGAAGGAATATATTTTCTGGAATCGAGTATGATCCTACTTATTTTAATCTACTTTTTTGCCCAGCCGAAGCATTCTGCCTTGATTCTGCAAATATTCACCTTAAATTAAGATCGAGAACGAAAAATCTTCGCGTCCAGTCTAATAATCATCATACTCGAGCCAAGGAAATTGTTCAGGACAATTTGTCACCATCTGGCCAAATTATCACAAGCGCGTTGCAACGTTTCAAAATTTCCGCGTATAATTAATTTTTTGCAGAGAAATCGTTCAATTGAGCTGTCCGAAAATTTCATTGAATTTTCTCCGTGTTGCTGATAAAATTCAGTGGAATTTTCAATCAGATTCAACCAACAATTTCTCTGTATCAAAATAGAATGGCGGCGGAGATATTGAAACGTCGCATGGCGCTTGTGATACTTTGGCCGGAAGGTAACGAATTCCTCACTGGAAAAAAAAAACACACATTGGATCTAGAGTCCAGACTCTTGGAAACATTGATAAAAAAAGGACTCTTGATTCGATCAGATTTAAGTTTAAATCAAAAGGAAATCCGCTCAAATTAGGAGGCTTGGTTCTTGATTTAAGCTTAAATCTGATTGAATCAAGAGTACTTTTTCTTGTCGTTTTTTTTAAGAGTTTGGACTGTAGATCCAATAAGTTTTTTTTTTTCCAGTGCTCCCAGTTTTTCTGTAAATTCGGAAATGTGGAAAGCTCTAAAGCCCCGGATAGACGATCAAATTTCCGAAGCAATGCCGATCAAAGTAGACATGCCGATGACTGATGGTCACAATCTACCATCAAATTTCGACGGGCCGCACTATTTTTCTTCAAAGTAAGATCAGAATGGAGTGCCACCATTCATCATTTGCTGCCTCAGGAAACATTTCTGCCAAGTTTTCATTTTATAACTAAGCAAATTAATGTGATAAAGACTGATGACTCCCGACACTTTGATGGTAATTGGTTCGGGAATTTGATCGTCCATCGAGACCTCAAGAATATTTGATTATGGACTCACCGTTGGAGCAGACAGAGGAGGTTTCGCCGGGGAGTCCGGAATCCGTGCCGGATTCGTGGTCGTCGCTGAGCTCGGAGTCGGTGCGGCAGTGGAGGGACAGGTCCCTGGGCCCATCCGAGGTGGGCGAGGGGGAGGGCGGGTTGGCCAGGATATCGGTGATCATGAAGCGCGAGCGGTGCGCCAGGGATTGCGACCGGGGCATCCCGCCGGGGGTCCCCGTTCCGGGCCCCGTGCCCCCCGAAATCGCGTGCACCGTCATGAGACCCCGCTCGTCCGGGCCCACCGCCCCCACAGCACCGGCTAGTTTGGCCACAATTTTCGGCGGCTCGCCGACCAGAAGGCTCCACGAAAGTTCACGCGGAAAACTCTCCACGCGCTCGACTAAAATTTTGAAGGCGAGCTTAGACCCTTCGAGAAACTTTCAAGTCTTACAGTAATTGTTCACTGTCACCTTCTCAGGTTTCTACCTTATTTTTATATACGTATTTCTTTAAAAAAATCGCGGAATTAGGTGGCTTAAAGATTCTCCGCGACGCACTTGAAACTTACGAAACAGTCCGCTGCGAGGTGTATAATTGATGCACGGTTGCTACCACCAGTTTTCGGATATTAATCCTTGTTTCCGAGTTAACCATTTGAAATTACATACAACAAATTCACGCAACTTTTAATCGGGTTTAATTTTTTAGGTAATGCAAAAAATGTGCCAATTCTTTGATTTCAACGAGTATCACTACAAATCAGAGTCAGAATTCTGCAGTTTTCACCAGTCGCGATCAGTCAAGCGCAGGCCACATCAACACTGAATAATCCTTTGGCGGCTAAAATCACTGAAGTAGGCTTTATTCACGAGTAATCATTCATTATCCTTTACGTTTTTCTCTGTTTGTCTTCCTCCTGTTCGTTTATCACAGTTTCACTTCCATACACTGATATCCAATTAGCTTGCAACTTTTCGGTTGTTGCGGATGACTATTAAGCACACCAACACAGTTAAAAAAAAAACAATTCGCGAACGTAAAGACCCGGAGAATGGATTTTTATAAAACCTAGTTTCTTATAATTTTTTTTATTTTATTACACTAATGACACGGAACCGAAGCGGAAAGTCGGTGACCACTGTAAAACAAGATCGAAAATCTGAAAAGCCGGAAAAGCGACGGCACAATGCGAACGTGTTGCTGAGAAGAAAAGAAATCAATTGGAGTAACCGATGGGTAGAGTAGCCGGCTGTGTCGAGGACCAACAATAGCGTCGCACTGACTGAGGGGCCCCGGTCGCGGCGGAGCGCGCGGGAAGCGCCCGCAAAAAACGCACCTCCCGCCATGGCCGCGGCCCGCCCCCCGCCCCGGGGACCAATCCGAGCGCCGAATCCGTCGGCCCAGGCCAATCACACTCGGCCCCGATTGTTAAGCGATTCCTTTCTCGTCCCTCTTTAAGCCCGATCAGAATCAAACCCGGCCACTTTGTATTTACTTTATCTCCCGGCTCTAAACTCATTTTGAACTTGTTCTCACCCCCTCTCCCTCCTCTTGATTGGCTGTTGGTTTGGTTCAAGTGCGCTCTTAACTGTTTTAACATTTTTACACCTTTTTTTCTCCCCTCGCTCTCGCCACGGTCGCGTTGCTTTGCGGATAGGCCGTCAATGCAATATCGTTTCAAGGGCTGGTTTTACTATAAAATATCCCCATTTCCAGCCTGCATGTGCATTTTGATCCTGTTATTTTAGAAACGCGTATCCGAATTTCCGATATTGCAAATTTTATTTTTTCCAAAGGATGGTCGGCAATATCAACCCTTTCAATCCCGCATCTCGACTGAGATACTTCTGAAACATAATTTCGAACTGCAATAGTGTAAATCTCCGTCCAAGTTGATTCTCTCTCAGGAATACCAATCCACGAATTCCTTCCCAATGTTAATTTCAAGACTGCTTTTGAAGTGTATGTAAAGGAATGTTATCCGGAAAAAAGAAAATACATTTTTTCCGCGCATTTTCACTGGTACTCCCTCTTTTTCTTTCTTTTTTCTGCAGATGACCAGCCTCGTTTTTTTCATAATGTTTTAATCATTTATATGCGTTGATGTACTGAACTCAATACCTGGATAATTACTCGGAGAAAAGCTTTAACATTTAGGTTGTTAACATGTTTGTATTCTTGCGAAATTAGTTGAAATGAGAGTGAAAAATTCCTTTTGAAACGGTAAATGACGATTTGCTGTATCATAGTCATTATGTGTCTTGTTGGAGCTTACTAACTTTTGTAACTTTTTATGACCAAATGTTCCGCACGTTGTCACCATTACTTTTATCATTTGCTTTAATTCTTTCCTCTTGCAGAATTCTGCAAATGTGTGTCAAATTGTATATCAGCCTGAGTATTTGGGACTCAAAAATAGGAAAAAAAAAAAAAAAAAAAAAACGGCAGCATAGGTATGATAGTTTGAAAATTGTATGCTGGACGGGTATTTGGTCGTGTTTTCCATGAAATATTTGTTCGTTTCCATTTATGTTTGTGTGCAATATCAGTACGACGATAAATAAAATACGTTTCCATCTGTAATTTATTCCTCGCCGATTTAAATTTTTCGATCACTTTATTTTTTGCGTCGGAACAAGTTAGAAAAAAAGTGAGTGAAGTATTAAGCCGCTGCAGCTATGAATAAACCATTTGAGTGCGGCCGAAATGCTTCGAGCAACTATTACTGCTCCCAAGCCGCTCATATTGCCTATCGAAATATTGAAGGCGAACTGGTTTGAACCAGTGAGAAATAGTGTAAGTGGAGTATTGATCCACTAATGCTACAAATAAAGCGGAGCTCACCAATGTGCAATTTAGGTCCCTGTGGACTCACAAGTATTCAAAACACTCAGTGTCCAAGATTTCAAATAAACAATCTTTATTTGTCCGATAAAGTAACTGTATCTTGCTCGGCAAAGTTACACCTCTACCGCTCACAAATTCTCGCACACCAAGAAAAATTCAGTATTCAAAGGAAATTCTTCAGTGAAAAAACGCACTAAATTAATTAATTGAAAACCAGATCATGATGCAGACTTGAGCAGCCTGGTTCCTTCGACAGCTGGAGCAAGGTTGAATTGACATGAATGCAGACACTGTTCAATCACCTACGGGTTAAATTTAAAAATATTCCGTCTGTCCGCAATATTCTGCAATGCATTTTAAAAAATCAAAACAAATCGTGCTACTGCAGCTTTTCTTTCCCTAAGTGAAGAAAGGTTCCAAGAATATAAACCAATGAACTTCCTGAAAAACTCCCAACCTTCTCACCTTACTGCAAGCGCTATAGCTGCGAGAACATAATATGTAACCTAGAGAGTAGTATTCTTTCTTTTCAATTCTGCGAAAAAGAATTTGCTTGTATTGCAAGAGATGGATCCATTAGTCTCTTCAAACTCACCGTCCTTTGATACGACGCGCATATTCCTAGTGACTCAAGCGTGTCAATCATCGCGAGAACTAAATTTTTTAAAAAATAAATGAGAGAACCCCAAGTTTAATGGCAGATATAAATGATTTCGGCCGTGCCGTCGTTATGATGCAATGAGCAAAACTTAAACTTTTTCCCTCCTAGAACCTTATCTCCTTTTTTGTGTTTCACAATGACAGTCTTCAAAAATGTTTGAAGGCTTTCAAGGACTTCCGATCGAGCATTCATTAGGAAATTATGGATGGGAGGTCGTTTTTTCATAGATTTTGGAGCGAATATCTAGAGTAATTATTCTTTTAAAATTATCATTTATTTCCTCAAAAGACCATATGTATAAAATTTACGAGACAGAAATTGATTAGGAATTCTCAATGCAACTGATACAGCTGATAGGTTGTATACATTAAACAATATCATAGTCGAAAAGAAAACAATCAAAATTAGTACATGTAAACAGCAAGAAAATTGTAACATAAGAAAGAAAAAGCTCATAGGCAATGGAGGAAAACCGGATTGACGAACCGCGGTATTTCGACGGGGATGGATGGGGGGTTGATATTCTTGTCTTTTATCAGAAGAACTTCACGGACATGGATGGCTTCGACAATACAAATCGCTTTCGTTCCTCGTGTTCATCGCTGTAGATTTATTTGAGAAAAATGTGTCCGAAAGGACTTGAAAACCAGTATTTCTGAAAGAAACTACAGGAGACCATTACCAATATTTTTATGTAATAATACCACTTCCATAATTTTTCATCAACTCATTTTTAACAGTTCTTAAATCAGGATTATAATCTCCCTTTATTTCGCCTATCAAGTCTGCCAACATGGATTGACACTCGCTTGAGTGTGAGCCTAAGGCCCCCAGGCTTAAAGGTTAAGTTCATAGGCGGCTAGCTCTCGGGGGAAACTTAGTACTACACTGAAACGCACAAACACAGGGATCAACTTTCTTTCCAATTTAATTGGATGGCAATGTATACTGTGTAATTCAAATAGAAAACAACGCTATTTAAAAGGGTCGGATGAAAAGTTGAACCCTGAAAATTGGGCGTATCATAAAACCACAGAGGAGGGAGCTCGGAGCTCTTGATTTTACTTGATTTTTGGGATCGATTACGAAGAGCCATCACATGGTGCAAATGAACCTCGCAGAGGTGAGGATCTACCGAGGGCAACGTTTACGACCGCACTCAATGATCTACTTCAATATGACAAATTCTGCACAAGGGATGATATTTTTTATTTCAACGATGATTCTATCTACGTTGCAAATCATTGCTCGAGGGAAAATTTAAGATGACCCCCGTTGTTCCGAAGTAGAAGAAATTTGGCATACCTTAAAGATTTTTTGAAAAATGTCATCATCTCTTTATGTACCTTCGATAATTTTAATAAGTATCAAACGATGCGGGTTTATGCTAAGGTTGAAGTTCCCCCTACGAGGAATTATTGTTTTATTCCCGGGCGTCTGACAACACAGGGTAATAGGAGCCTCGGCGTGGGTTCCCAATGGTGGCCGGTGCACGATCGCCGACAGAACGGACCAATCACGGCTCGGACAGCGGCCAGCGCCCGCGATTATAATCATCCAGGGATCACGTACGTAAAGCGCTGCGCTTTGGAGCCCGAGAAAACAAGCTGCCCATACTTACACAAATCAGTCGTCAGTGCTGATTAGCGGACGCCGATCGAAGCGCTAAGATTACAGTAATGGTTCATCGATGGAGCTCTTGCTATCGGGTGCCCAGAAATTTATCCTACATTTTACTTTGGAAATGTTTCATTCTTTCCGCCGATATTTTTGTAGGTGATCGAGCCCAAGGAATCCGAATTTAAGGATTATGTCGTCTCCAGAGGCTCTTCCAATGGGGCACAGGGGGCATCATCCCACTCTGATTGAATTTTATAAGTTCGGGGGGTACATTACAAGTATACATTTCTCTGGATGTAGTTATACTTATTTGAGGGGCTTGATTGCAGTTTTTGAAAAAAATTATGCATTAATGATTCCAAGTATGAAACTAGTCTTAATACATATTCTGTGAAAAATTCGCTCTCAAACTCGACCAATTTTTAAGCATCATAAAGTCCGTTCGAACTCTTTTCCGACACAGAATCCGTGTAATTTCGAAACCGCGAACACGTTTTTCTCGAAATAGCTAAAGTTGCACATACGCGCCTCGTCGTCCAAGCCCCTCAATGGCTCTAAACGAAATTGATCATGTTATGCTTGATCTTGATATTGTGACTTACGATTGCCAAAAGAATCATTGGATTCTCAGGAAGCGGAACGAACTCTCTGAGGCACCCGTTACGGAGGCCATAAGGAGAAAATGCAGTTTGCTGCAACGCGGAATCATGCCTTCGCTACATGTGCATAGTGTTCGTAGGTGATTTCCGATTTGATTGGTTTTATGCTTCGATCGCCGGCCGTGGACCACAGAATCATCGCTTCTAGCCCACGAGTTTGCTGAACCGTTAACACGACTCCAACTTGATGTGATTCGTTGTTCGTCGATTATTTTTTTCCTGCTTTATAAGTGAACTCTCCCTATACCCCACGTTAAAATCAAAAACCAAAGTATGTTTTGCCAGCGCAGTAAGTTTGCACGTCGACACCACCCTCAACAAGAATCTTCATGATCTTTACTTTGCTATCTTTGGCGCAGCTGAACAGAATATCCTGATGTTCACCATTTCTTGGGTCTATTAGAGCACTTTGTTGTAGCATACTGCATAATTTTTGACACTTTATCGACACTATGAACACTTAAAAATCTGTACAAATAA